TGATGACGTGTCCAAAGTAAGCAAGATGAAGTTTTGTTGTTTTTTTTTTTAAGTAACAGATCAGTTTATGGACAACAGTATGGGACAGACAGACTGGGAAGGCACAGGGCCTGCAGTAATGAAATTCCCAGGAATAGACCAATAGACAGGAATGGCGCAGACAGACAGAGGGACAGGGAAACAATATCAAAGGGTAAGAGGTCCTGGCCCAGCCTCAAAAGCTATGTCTGGGCATCAGCTTCAGCTCAGGCCTGGGAACCTGGGGGCTGAGCAGGGCTGGCAGGGGCCTTAGTTCTTGAGGGGGAGCACCTCTCCTCATTCCCTGCTGTCCATCATTCAGTAGGTTGGGACCTTAGCGAGGTGCTATTTTGGGAGCTAGGGAATGGTTGGTCTGGACAGGCAGAGGGTCAAGGCTCTCGGAGGCACCCTTGGGGAGGGCACCGTCTGGGTGGTGTGGGGTTAGTAGCAGCAATGGGGGGAGTCTGGTCAGGTACCAGGGATCTGAGGTGGGAGCATTCCAGTTTTATTTATTAAGACTTAACTACAGCCCAATGTTAAGTAGCCTGTTACCGGCTTGCCCAGCACCTCATTTTGTAATAATACATAGAGATGACTTCTGCCATTTACTTGACTGGGCCTTACGGTCACTTTCTGCTCTATAAACATGTGGCATAAACACCAGTGAGGCCTAGAGAACAAATGGTGGACACAAGGTGCTCTAAGAGAAGGATAAACTGCATTGTACACCCACATGGCAATCCACTACTTTAAGAATATAAAAAACCTTAAGCCCTTCATTTATGCTCCTCCAAACTGACCCTAAATTCATATGGAAAAAAATCTTATAAGAATTTCCAGGACTGGTGACTTCAAAGACGAAATTCATAAAATCACTCATAAAGACTGTGGCTTTTGCTTTTCCTCAATCCTTCATCTTCTGGCAGGGTCACCTCACCCTACTACTCCCTCAGTGTGGTCTCAGGTCCACAAGACGTAATGGGGATCCGAAGTCCTCAAAGGGAGGGCTGAGTCCCTCTTAAAGTCCTAGTTTCCAAGAAAAGGAAAATCTAACTCATTTCACATTGCTATTTGCCAAGATATGTGATTCAAAGCTAACTGTTATGTTCTAAATGATCTTTCCTGCACCAGGAGGACACCTGGGTTTAAATGAGTGGCTTTCCAAGAGGAGAAATGGTTTCCTGTTTAAATGAAAAACCTGTTCCCAATTATTGGGATAATAGAAGGTATTCATTTTCAGAAGTTCTACTTTTCTCTACTTCTTGTTTTCTTATATAGGGGAAAAAGGCATTGGTAATAAATTATATGTATGTATGTATATATTGTTGTTAGGTCGATTTTGAGTCGATTTTGACCAATAGAGACCCCCCATGTGACAGAGGAGAGCTGCTCCATACGGTTTCCTAGGCTGTAATCTTTACGGGAGCAGATACTCCATTCTTTCTCTCTTGGAACTGCTGGGAGGGTTTGAATCGCAAACCTTTCGGTCAACAGCTGAGTGCTTAACCATTGTGCACCAAGCCTCCTTGTGCACCAAGCCTCCTTGTGCATGTATATACATATGTATATACGTATGTATATATATGTATGCGTGTGTGTATACACGTATTCTCATCAAAGGACACATCAGGCTGATAGAAATGGAATCAAGTGGAGGGGGGAGATATATGTGGATAAAGCATATTCTCTAAAAGTCAAGAGCTTCAATGTTGTCTCCCACCGATTCTGACGCGCCCTAAAGACAGGGAGGCCAAATGAGCTGGATCAGCAGCTCTTCCAGGCCCTGTAGAAGCCCCGCTAGACCTACGCAACTCCACCTCTCTCCTGGTGGGCAGTTACTCTGGGATTGCAGGAGGTGCCTAATAAAAATGCCAGCAACAGAGGCAGCGAAGGGGGCTGCATGTCTGCACCAGCAGGGAAACCATCCCCATGTTCCCAGAGAACCTATGGAGCCCAGTCAAGATGATGGGTCGTCATCTTTGTCCCAGAAGGTAGACTTAGGCCACCCAGAAGTTTATAGTGGTGGTCCACAAGGCAGGAGGCTAAGGGGATTGCAACACAGACTCAGAGTTGAAAAGAACGTATTTATGCTGATGGTTCTTAACATTTTGGGGGGCAAAAGACCTCTAACAAACCTGAGTCACATGCATTCAAACTTTTGCAGGCAGTTCATGGGTCACAAGTTATGATCTAGTCTAGGAGTCAGCCAACTACAGCCTGAGGGCCAAATGTGGCCCACCATGTGTTTTTGCAAATAAATTTTATTGGAACACAGCCACACCCATTCATTTACATGTGGTCTATGGCTGCTAGATGGGCACTAAAACCAACAAAATCAAACTGGTTGCCATCGAGTCAATTCTGACTCATAGTGACCCCATATATTTCAGAGTAGAACTGTCCTCTATAGAGTTTTCATGGCAGTGACTTTTCAGAAGCAGATTGCTAGGCCTTCCTTCTGAGGTGCCTCTGCGTGGGTTTGAACTGCCAGCCTTTCATTTAGCAGCCCAGTGCTTAACTGTTTGCACCACCCAGGGACTCAGAAGGGCACTATAAGGGCAGAACTGAGTCCTTGTGGCAGAGAGCAAATGTACTGCAGAGCCTAAAATATTTACTATCTGGGCCTTTCTAGAAAAAGTCTTTTTATTAGCTCTGACCATTCCCTGACCTAGTCCAGCTCCTCATTTTATGGATAAAGAAACTGAGGCCCAGATGGGTTAAGGATTTGAGCAGTAGCAGGGCCAAAACTTGAACCCAGACTCCTGACTCCTTGCCCAATGCTCTTCAGTACTGTCTGGGTTTGAAGAGGGAGAGAGGCAAATAAGTTCAATTTTACGGCAGTTCCTTTTCTTCCCACCTCTATGCAAGAAAACAAATAGTTGATGAAACAGTACAGATAACCTTTCCCTAACAAAAATCATTTTTATCAAATTTAAAAACCACAGAGTTGACTTGATTTTGTAGGGACTATTTTCTGGTGAAGGAACCCGGGTGGCACAGTGGTTAAAGTGCTTAGCTGCTAACCAAAACACCAGTGGTTTGAACCCACCAGCTGCTCAGCTGGGAGAAAGATGTGGCAGTCTGCTTCATAAAGATTTACAGCCTGGGAAATCCGATGGGGCAGCTCTACTCTGTCCTATATGGTCACTATGAGTTGGAATCAACTTGGCGGCAGTGGGTGGGTGGGATTTTCTGGTGAATGCATTACAAGGTTCAATAGTTAAACTTGTGTGCATAAAAAGGAATCCTATAACTTGCCCCAGAAAGTAACATTTCATATGGTTAAAGATGGCTGTTTTACAAGCCCCCAGGGCAGGATTTAAGAGGCAGACTAGAACTAGTTACAAGTTCTAGTCCTTTGTCTGGGGACTCTATTTGTTCTCACCAAATACACAGATGCCCACAGCAGTCCATGGGACTACCATAGCAAGGCACCAGCCCAGATATTTCTAAGGTAATTTCAAGGAAATAAATGCCTTTTGTCCCAGGGGGACGAATCGGCCCACCACATGCACAGCTACACTGTTCTACAGTCAGTTGGCTCCTATACATCACAGTATGAGTTACAAAAAAAGGAAGAAAACAGTCTTCTCCAAAGGACTGTGGCCCCCAATCGGTGGAGGCACTGAGCCCAGAAACACCTCTCAATCCAAGTCCCTCATAAGAAATTGCTTGGGTTCAGTCCAAAAAAGTGATTCTCTCTTGTACCAGGAGGTAGCGAACCTGGCCGGACAGCCCCAACTTCCACCCTGACCTAGGGCAGTCCCTCCATTCACCAAGCCTGGCTGCGTGGGCAACTACCCTGACCACTGGTTCTGACAGGGACCGGGTTATTATTGCTAGCCACCAATTCTACATTAATTCCCATAGTCGCCCCATTCACACTTTGCCTCTTCATCTCCATCTGTCAATTATGTGGGAAAACACATGCTAGATTTTTTAAAAATTATCCTTTTTCCCATCCACCCATTGGTGTTAGAATTGAACTGAACTAATAAAAGCTATTAAGGGAACTTCAAAAAGTAAGAACCTTGAGAAGCTAAAGCTGCTTGGTAAAAATGAATGAGTGAAACCTGATCAGCAGCTGCACCTTTTTGAATGCACTGATCAGGTGCTGCACCTCTGAAAGTACAATGGTTAATAGCGTGGGCTCACGAGCCAGATTGCTAGGGTTCAAATCCCACTCCCATCGCTCACTACTTGTAGGACCTTTGGCGGGTCATTTACACTCTCAGTGCCTTAGTGTCCTTGTCATGGATTGAATTGTGTCCCCCCAAAATGTCTGTCAACTTGGCTGGGTCATGATTCCCAGAATTGTACGATTGTGTACTATTTTGTAATCTGATGTGATTTCCTTATGTGTTGTAAACTCTATCACTACGCTATAATAAGATGGATTAGCGGCAGTTACACTGATGAAGTCTACAAGATTAGATAGTGTCTTAAGCCAATCTCTTGAGATATAAGAGAAAGAAGTGAGCAGAGACACATGAGAACCTCATACCACCAAGAAAACAGTGCCAGGAGCAGAACGCATCCTGTGGACCTGAGGCTCCTGCGTTGAGATGCTCCCAGACCAAGGGAAGACTGATGCACCATAAGGACCTTCCTCCAGAGCTGACAGAGACAGAAAGCCTTCCCCTGGAGCCGATGCCCTGAATTTGGACTTGTAGCCTACTAGACTGTGAGAAAATAAATTTCTCTTTGTTAAAGCCATCCACTTGTGGTATTTCTGTTACAGCAGCATTAGATGACCAAGACAGTCCTCATCTGTAAAATGAGGGTGATAATAATGGCATCTACTACATCAGTTAAGAAAATGAAAATAAAGTGGTTGTCACAACGCCTGGCAATCCCGGCTATTAATCTTCCCACACCAGGTCCCTTCATCAATGACAAGCCAGCAAGGCATTTCTGTGACGTACCAAGGCATCACTCCCACCACTGACTGGGAGACATCTGATTGCTAGGTCCCCTTATACCTGAACGGCTTGCTGTCAGGATCAGTGTCCTTGAACCCCATCTCCTCAAGCTTACAGCGACGATACAATTCATAGTGGCGAGTGTGAGTCTGTTCTCGCAAGTCTTCCATGTTCACACGGATCAGCATCTCTCGAAGTTTCACAAAATCACAATGGTTTTCATTCTCAACTGCAAGAGATGAAAATAAAAGGGGTAAGGTAACTATCAGCAACGATGTCATGAAAACCTGAAGCGATACTTCCAAGATGTTGTTACCATCACTCCTGAAATCTCTGAGGTCTCAAAGCCACCTGAAGATCCTTTACTGGAATCACCCTACCTCACTAATGAAGACAACATTGACCATAATGCTGATGATGACCATAGTGACTGCGAGTGCCTACTCAGTGCAGGGAACTAAGGGAGGAACTTTACAAATATTTACAAATCTCACAGATTCTTTACTCTTCATACTAATCCTGCAAGGCAGACATTGTGACCCTTGCTTTGTAGATGCAGAAGCATGGCAAGCTGACCTTCCAATTAGAGGTAGCAGAGTCTAGATTCAAACAGTTACATCTGGCTCCAAAGCTAAGCCTATTTCCATAGTCCATGCTGTCTGGAATGGTACAAGGTGGTTTTGTAGATACTACCTCATTTAATTTTATCAACAACACTGTGAGGAAAAGAGTTTCCTTATTGTACAGAAATTGGTAAGATTCATAAAGCTTATGCAAATTTTCCTAGGGATTTTAAAGGTGCTATGTCTTCTCACAGATTCACTCAGAACAAAGGAAAAGGTAGACTGATACATCTTAAACCAACAGGACACTTTCTATAGTTATCCTACTTAACCTATAGCATAGATATCCTCCTTCAAAACACACAAGGGTAGGTCAAAGCATCCTTGCCCCTCTAAGTGACATACTAGAATCTTCTTTAGGTTAGAAACTGTGGTTATGCCAAGTATAGTTCAGACATTCTCATAATGCTCAGATGTTTACTGAGATAACATTTAATTGGAAGAGGTTTCCAGAGATGATGGAGAAACAAGTACCTTCTTGTTTGCCAAGAAACTGTTTGCAATTTTCTCATAGTTTGCTGATGGAACGGGCTGGAACTCCTAGAGAAGAACTCTTTTCATCTGGATTGCATACTGAATTTCCCACACAACACAACACTCTTGAATGGCTGCCTCATTGGCACTAGGGCTTTGCAGCCACTTCTCTCCATTGTCTACTACCTGGTCACCATTTCTTCCTTCCTCACCTCCATAGAACACCACTGCCAGGTGTGAAACACCACCACTCCCTCTGCCTGCTCTCTGATGAGGACCTCCCCAAACAAGATGGGGAGGAAAGAAACATGGACATTCACCACATAGATTAATATGAAGCATTCCTTCCCCGTGATGTGCACATACCCTGCACTACACCCCAAGGGTACTGCCTGGCCTTTGCCATCTTGTTGCCGATCTTCACCTCTTCGGTGCTGCCAACCACTGCAAATGGGAGATGGACCTGCCAACCAACAGAAGCACAGAGAGTAGTTATCTTCCACAGCTCCGTTAAAGATGTGTTCTCCACAAGACTCTACTTTCCCTACTTCTGCAGGCCTCTATTTAGTAGCAAGAGAAAAATGGGTAGAACAAGTAGGAGACTCTGCAATTTAGTGAGGGTACACTATGTGTATCCTACTGCCCCACTACCAAATACTGAATATTTGGTATGAGCTAGATTCAAGAGGAAACCATACAAGGCTTTGTAAATATATGGCAAGTTCAGACGTGAGCTACTCAATATGCCTACCACTAACCATACATGGTTATTGATCACTTGAAATTGGACTCGTGGGATTGATGAACTGAATTTTTAATTTTACTTAATTTTGACTAGTTTACATTTAAATGTAAAACCAGAAGCACTGTAAGATATTTTTCTCTTAGACACAACTTTACGGTTTGGGTAAGACAGTATTTCACTTTGCTTTAAAGTCAAACAAAATCTTCTAAAAAGGAAGAACCAGTTTTGTCAATGTGAATGTAAAAAATAAAGGAAAATGATTATTTCTATTCCTATTGGAAAAGTTTTAAGTATATTTAGAGCAACTTGGGTATATGAATCCACTTTTTCAACTGTAAACCTTATTACATGTAAATGCAAATACAGATCAAGTATTTCCAATGGCAATTTAGCAGCCTAACTGAGATGTGTGTTAAGGGTAAAATAGACACTGGATTTCAAAGACTTAGTATGAAAAACGGATGTAAAATAGCTCATTAATAAGTTTTTTATATTGATTACCTGCCGAAATGATGGTATTTTGGATATAGGGAGTGAAATAAAATAAATTATTAATTTCATCTATTTCTTTTCACTATTTTAATGTGGCTACTAGAAAACTTTAAATTACTTATGTAGCTTGCCTTATATGTCTATTGAATAGTGCTGCTTTGGACAGCTGGTCATTGCACAAAATCTAATCAGAAATACTTTAGCCTAAATTATTGGCTCAAGCCTTGCATCCAGATTGATCTCAAGCAGAGATGGTGTTCAAGATAACTGATCCTTTCACACTGATGTATTTGGTAGCTGTGGCTACACTGTAGTGGGAAAACATACTAATTCCATTTTTTTGTCTATTATAAGAATAAGAAGATTTGAAATGGCTGCTTAGAGAATTATTACTTGGTATTCCTTGGTCTGGTGTTCCTCCACTACATTTAAGTTTAGAAAGAAGGAACAGTGTAAAGCCATTTCTCGCCCACGGGAAGTTTGGCAAAATCCTCAGCCCAGGTTGCCCAAGTGGCTTTATGTCTGATGCTCAAGGATTTAAAATTTCTAGTTTATCTCACACACTATAGAAGAAAGTGGATTCTCCTTTTCAAATTCCAAGTTTAAAACTGAAATGTCTTCCCTGAAGTTGAGGGGCAGCAGGACCCTCCTGTCCACATATTTGTATACTGACCAAGGGAATTTTATTCTCCACTCAAACACAGTGACAAAACAACCCGAATGAAATCTGTTTTCCTCATATTTCCACTCATCATATGGGATTTTACCAGCAGGAATTGGTTGCAATGAACAGCCTAAAAGAAAATGTCTTGATAAAGAGCAAGATTAATTTGAGAATGCCAAAGATCTTCAGTTCTACTAAACTGATAAAGACAGAGAGACAGCAAAGGCTCACAAGTATTTTTAAGAGGTTTAACACAAATGTAGTTTCACGTTCCTACTCATAAAAATGATTTAAAAAGATGGGGAGGGACAGAAAGAGAAAATTATTAGACAGTATTTATTCATGGTATTCCCTGGACTCTACACTGACACCCCAAATTGCAGTTCTGCAGTAGAAAAGACAAGTGACATCTCAGCCAAAGCTTTTGACCACACTATAAAACAAGTACACTGCTCTGCTTGGGTGGCCCATAACATAAAGATTGAGAGTGCAGGCTCTTACAGCCAAACTGGCTGGGCTCAAATCCTACCTCCACCACTTACAGCTGAGCAATCTTGGGCACTGTGCTGAGTTCCTCATATGGGAGGTAGGAATAATAGCACCTGCCCATGGGATTGTTGTGAGGATTAAATATAAAGCACTTGTATACTGGCTGGTACATAGTAAATGCTTCATAAATGTTAGGTACTACTATGATTTTGAAGTTCAGCAATACTCATAACCAGAGAATTTTAAGACATGGAAGAGATCTCACATACAGTTCAATCCTCTGTACAAACTCCTTCTACAGTATCTCTTCGAAGTGGGTTGAAACAGAATCTGTTGTTCACCAATCACTTGTAATGTGAGCCCACTACTTCAACAACATGTTTCTTCCACTATAATGGCTCCAATAGTTAAACATTCCCCTAACACTGTACCAAAATCCCTCCTGCTATTTTGTCCATTAGTCTTGGTTTGGTCTTTTGAATACATCTCCTTTTCACAGTCCCTCATGCCTTCTATTTCCCAGGAGGAGCCTGCTCTCTGGTTTCTTCCAGATATTCTTTGTGTGCCAAGGATTCCTGACACTTTCCTATCCCAGCCATAGGAGTGTGACAGCCAGAGTAGATCATACAACTCAAAGTGTCACCAGACTAGGGCAGAGTGGGGCTAAACTATCTCTACGTTAATGAGATTCTAAATTTTAAATTCACATAGTAACAATCCCAGAGAAGAGGAAAAAGATATGCTTGTTTTCAAAGTCATAGTCATACTGGGAACAATTTAAGGAAGAAATTCCTCCTAAAGGGATACAGCCTTACAGAAAAAGTCCGTATGTTGAACTGAAAAAACAAACAGCAGTTTTGTGGAGTAACTCTGATCCCTCAAATTACAATGGGAAACAACACAGGTCTGGGGATCAGAAAGGCAGGGCTGAAATCTCAGGGCTGCTACTATCCACATGGCTTTGGGCAAGTTATTTAATTCTCTAGATAAGCCTCGATATAATTCCATTTATACGAAATGTCTGGAATAGGCAAATCTGTAAAGACAGAAAGCAGACTAGTGGCTGCCAAAGGCTGGGGTGTGGGGAGATGAGGGGTGAAATGGGGTTGACTCCTAAAAGGTATAGGGTTTGTTTTTTGGGTGATGAAAAATTCTGAAATTAATTGTGGCAATGGCTATGCAACTTAGTGAATATGCTAAAACTACTGAATTGTATACTTTAAATAGGTGAATTATATGTCAATTATATCTCAACAAAGCTGCTACTAAAAAAAGACAAAAATTAAGTGCCTTTAGTACATTTAATAATGATTTAATCAGATACAACTTTTCACGATCATATCTTCTAAGGAAAGTAGAGCATACCTCAACCTACCACAAATTTAAACATCTATACTGCTTCCTTCGCCACCAGCACACTTCTCAATCATTATTTAGCACGTATTTAGGGAATACCAAGAGCGCTGGTGGCATGGTGGTTAAGAGCTCGGCTGCTAATCAAAAGGTCAGCAGTTTGAATTCACCAACCACTCCTTGGAAACTCTATGGGGCAGTTCTACTCTGTCCTATAGGGTCACTGTGAGTTGGAATCAATTCGATAGCAATGGGTTTTATGGGCTTTTAATGACGTTTCACTGAAGCTAACCTATAGTTCTAAGAATTCCAATAACCATCATTGGGCATCTACTATGTGCAGAGAATGCTGCTTTTATATAAGCTACACATTCCTAAATAATAAAAAAAAAAAAAGACATGTGTAGTCATTGTAGCCCATGGATGAGCTGTGCATGCAAGATACAAAAATGAGCAGTGGGAAAAGACTCTGGTCTCAATTGGCAGGACAGAGGCTCACCAGGAAAGATTACAGTCACAGGCATACTTTCAAGAACCGTTGTAGTGTTAATGATTTATCTCCTGTCCAGTTCTCTGTGATGTGGAAACTGTACTCTCAACTGCCAGTTTACCTAATGATTCAGGCAAGTGTAGGGAAAATAGGAAGGAAAGGCAGAAGCCAGTCAGAGAAGCAAAAATGAAGCAGGTAGACATATCTCTTGGCTGAAGAAAGCAGAATGGTGCTGGGCTGGCATTCTCTCCCCAAAAGATTTGTCTTGAAATCGTAACTGCTAGGGCTGAAAGGAAATTTGAGATCATCTTGTCTATCTATCCCATTTGACAGATGGAGAAACTGAGGAGCAAGGTGGTTGAATGACTTGAATTAGTGGTAGAGCTGGACTACAACCAAAGCCATCAGATTTCTAGTTCAGTCAGTGTTCTATCAACTCTACGATGCTACTACTAAGAAAAGCTTTCAGGAAAATCCCTGTTGGTCCCTTCTTATTTGAGAACTTACACTCATTGTTGCATTAATCTCTGCCACTGTTTCTTCATCTGTAGGAAACTGATATATCTGGACACCATTGCTGACTAGTTCACTCATGATCTTACTCTTGAATTTGTGCAATTCGTTCTTGGCAATGGTATCAGCTTTTGCAATTATTGGAATGATGTTCACCTGTAAAAGAAACAAGTCCATTGTCCACAATTCCAACATTAAAAAAAAAAATTAGACAAATGACTAAAATAATGGTAAACAAAGAAATAAAAATTATAAAATCTCACTGTAAAAAAGAGACGATATTGAAAATCAGACTTTCTAGCGAGATGCAAAATTAAGAAGACATGGGATAATCTTTTAGTTCCATCTCCCAACACTTTTACTTCCTCTCAGCCTATACTGAAAGCATACTTGTAATTTCCTCTCCTGTGTTACCTCATTCTTCTTTACAGAGTAAAAAAAAAAGGAAGTGTTATTAGTCTCTGACAAATAGTGGTAACAAAGAAACCTATTCTTTGAATAACCAGTCACTCCTTTTAGACCTCCCCTAGCTAATTTAGGTGCTTGGTTTTTGCATGTTCTTAACAGTATAATAACAAAGTTTTCATTAGTTATAGCAGTGCAATATTCAGCACTCTATGCAGGGTAAAATCCTTTCTTCTGATGACCTGAAAACTGCTGGGAGAGAAGAACCTAAGCATTAATAAAACAAAACGAAAAAAAATTGTTTCACCTACTTTAAAGTTTTTCAAAAGCCCACCAACTAATTCATTTGAAAATCAACTTCTATCAAATTACTCCTCTGGGTCAGAGTAAGACCTCGTGCCAAAGGCAGGGCTCACTTTCAGAGCACAGGTTACAAGAACAGGGAGAACCCGGAATGTGACAATAAAGTGAGAAAGCCCAGAATGAAAGCCAGAGACAGCGCAGAGTGCAAGTGTGCCAAACTCCAAAGGAGGACATTCTTTTCCCAACGCCCCAACTCCAGTCTCCCGCACACATTCTTTAAGCTCACTTTTTAAGATTAATTCTCTTACACTCCCTGGTAGGGAAAAAGGTTCCAATAAGATGCTACTAACGTCTGATACCTGGGACCATGCTCTCCATCCAGCTCAGCTGAAAAAGGAATGGAACTCAGGGTGGGAAAGCAGGCAGAGCCAGGGAACAGAGAAAGGGATCAAGTTCTTTGCAGGGATTTCAGGTCATATCTGCATTCCAATGCATCTCTTTTTATCCCATGGGACAAATCATAAATCCCTGATACCAGAATGAGATGACCTGCTGATTGAAAAGTCTATTCTTCAACCTATTCCGCAACCTACTCTGAATCTCATCATGCTTCGGCTTCCTCCAGCAAGTTGCTGACTAAGAAAAACATCATGGCCTGGGAAAATGTTTGAATCAGGACGCGAGGAACTAAAAACTTCTGTTATTCATATTGGCTATCTTTTGTACACATTTAGTATTCAGTTAATGTCAACACAGACAAAATGGGTAAGTTCATATATTCTTGGCCAATTTGATCAGAGTAGACAGATAAACCAAGCAATTTAGATATAAAATCTATTTTTCCTCAGTGGCAGGAGTCTGAAAGTCTTTTTCTGAAATTATTAGATAACTGCCTTTACTTGTATAAACAAAACTTGACAATAGTTCAGATGCTACTTTGCTCTCTGACCCTACAACAGTATCAGTGCTTTCAAAGTTTAACCTGCTCTGTGGTCTTGTTTTTTCAGTTGTATTTACTTTGCTTTTTCTTTCGCTTTTAAAATCAACCCTACTAAATATAATCACATTGTTGGATTGGTCAACATACTCAGTGGCCAGTTAGGAAGTCACCCACTTTACATCCTTCAGAATACTTGTGGGTGTTCATGACATGTTCAAGCTACTGGCTCGCAAATGCACTTTTAAAATTAAAAAAACACACAAACACTTTTTATCTAATAGAAATATATTTTTCTATTGTAAAGTAATTCATACATCTTTTAAAAAACTCAGGCAATACAAAATTACATAAAATACAAAGCTAAAGTCATCTTGTAATACTACCCTTGCTTGACCCATGAATCAGAATCAACTTGATGGCAAGTAGTATATATGTGTGTGTTCTAGTTTTCTAGGAAAATCTTATTTGCCCTTATAAAGCTTGTATTTTAGAGAACTTCTATCAAAGATTCTAAACAATCATATAATCTCAAAATTTAAAAATCAGTAAATTGTGATCTTTGGACACAAGTAAAAAGAAAAAAAGAATACTGTGGAAAACTGGGTACTCCAGAACATGGGGAGACAAGAGGGGAAAAAAAAGCCCCTGCTTTCAAGGACATGATAGAACAAAGAACAGGCTCACCACTGGTGATTCCTCCCCTATCAATGGCTAACAGCGCAGTCTCTGGGGTCTGAATTGCAGCTGAGTCAAAAGCAGAGAATAAGGTTTTTATTTATTCTCCCAGGAGTACTCTAGCTGCATCAATCCTCTCAGGCCACTGTGCTTCTGTGCTTGGTGGAACCTCAAGGAGCCTGGCTCTGCCTCAGTCACTCTAGGTCCCTTTGTGGCCAGTACAGACAGAGGTCTCTGGGACAGGCTGACCTTTGGAGCATGGTCTCACTATTCTGTCCCTCTGGACAAAACATAACTCCAGACAAAGCCCTTCAAAGATGGTAAGTACCTTTTCATTGAACTGAAAAGGGAATCTGAGAGAAAATACTATAGCTTAGTTTTGTGGTTGTTCCTGTTGCCATTTGCTTCTTTTTTATTTTAGAATGTACTGTCTTCCACTTATTTCAAAATGGAAAGTCAAATGAACTGTAAAGTAGGACACCAAATGTTATCAAATTTATCAATTCCTTGCTTCAAATGCTGTGAAATAGAAAGGTTATAAATGTGAAAAGCTCAGGGATCAAACTGAAAATAATACTTTACTTCGTTTGAACAAATGTGTGCTATTCAGATTTAAAATCCAAGAAGCTGGACTGTCCTTACCACATAGGAAAAAGAATAACACTCTTTTTCATTCTAAACTTTGAATTAAAGTCAAACTTTAAAAAATACCTTAAACTGAGATTTTGAGAAAGTTAAAAACAAACAAGCAAACAAAGAAAAACAAACCCTTGAATCTATATTTCAATCTCTCTTAACCCTCCTGCAACCATTTAGGCATCTCCTATATATAATTCCCCAATCCTTATCAGAGGAAGATAAAATTGGTGCTAATTTAAGAATTAAAAATACTGTGTAACAAACCACGTGGTTTTGTTTGTTTTGTTATTACTTAACATTCAAAAGTTTTGAAACATTTTTCTCACGTTGCTAAACCGTATGACTTCTGAAAACCAGAAAAAACAAATTACACAGAAAGCAGAGAATAAACTTGGGCCTTTGGATGAACGTGATCTAAAAAGTAGGGTGGATGATAACCAGGCCAGCCGTGAGTACCTTACTGTCCAGCTTTTTCATGGTGACCAGATCCAGGGACTTCAGCGAATGTCCGGTTGGGGCAATGAAGTAGAGGCATGCGTGGATCCTCGTGTCATGGTAATTGAAGAGAGAACGTTTGATCTTCAGTTCCTCTTGCAGGTAGGCCTCAAATTGGGCATCAATATATTCCACTATTGGCTTATAGCTAGAATGCAGAAGAACATTTTTGAAAATACATCTTCAAATCAGCATGTTTTCTAGTTCTCAAACCTCTTTAGCTGCTGTTCAGTGCAGTACAGTCCTCCACTAAATGTCTTCAATGGGTCCCTCTTCCATAAAAGATGAAGTCCAAGTTCCTTACCTTGGCATCCATGGCCTTCAATTATCTGGATCACGAATACCGCTGCAGCCTCATCTCTCCCACTCCCTCCCTCGCTCAGCAATGCACACTGCTATAGTAGCCCCCACACACCAAGCTCTCGTTTGCCTCCACAACTTTACACATCCTGGCCCCTCTACCTAGAATAACATCCTTCTTCCTATTATTCTCCTGGCTAACATTCATCCTTTAAAACAGAAATTATAAATATTATATGCTGCCACTTCCCCTATGGGTATCCAATCATGCATTCTTTCCTGCTGGGTAAAACTGAGCCTCAAAGCCCATCTCAGTAAAGTGATTTTGACAGCCTCTACCAACTGACTGACCCTGGTGCACAAAATGAAAGTGGCCTACCATTTCAGGAATATCACTTCCAACCAGGAACTTTTCCCTGTAGTCCTTGTCCCCATCCCTCATTAGAGAGATGACAGGTTCTCCGTGCTCTCATAAAGCTCTGTACACGTTCCATAACTCATCTATAAAATGAGGTGTCTGGATTGATATGATCTTCAGGATTCCTTCTACCCTAAAATTTTACCATTTAAAGGTAAATGTTATAACTCTATCTTCTCCTCATCAAATCATAATTCAAATTTGTTTTGGATAATTATGGGTGATTCTATTAACTGACCATAAACACTATCATTAATAGCATCTTGGGAATACATACTCAACAAACCATAAGTTCTCCAGGGAGTAAGTAGTAAATTAGGTCACTGTCAAAACCCATTAACACTTTCAGGATTCCAAGGGGATACTCAGGAGAAGTTAGTTTCAGTAGCGATGAACTTGGTCTATTAGGAATACAGGGGTTAATTCTTCTCCCCAAATTTACTACCTTTCTGAGGAATGATTTAAGCTTTAAGAAAAATAAAAACCATTCAACATCCAAATCCAAGACCCATAAATTAAACCAAAATCTTTGAAAGGGAGTTATAAATCTTTTATAACAGCAGACATCCTAAGAGGGGAAAAAAAAAATTATGACTCAAACTAAAAGGAGTCAGAAAAAAGCTTTTTGATGATATTTTTCTTTAGTAATTTATCACAACTTATTAGTTCAATTTGAGCAGACAAAACCTCTAGAGGTTTAAAAGAAAAATAGAATGTTTCTTTGTAACAATAAAGTTCTGTATCATAACAAGCAAAATTCCAATAAAAAGAGTGAGTGGTAAGATTTCAAATTTTCCAATTAGAAAATATAGGCATGTATTATATAATTATTATTATGGTACAGTTGTACCATATGATAGAAGCATGAAGTCAAGACAGGCTTCCTAGGACCAAAACCTAGCTCCACAACCTACTAGCTGAACGACCTTGGGCAAGTTACTAAACCCCTCTGTGTCTCAATTTCCTTACAGGTAAAACAGGGACAAAATAGTACCTGTATCAGAGAGCTACTGTGACAAATAATGAGTTAATGCATATAAAGGACTGGTACGTAATAATAGCATAACAAACAACAAGTATTATAAACAAAAGAAAAGCAAGCCTGACTTTTTTTTAAAAATTTTTTTAAAAAAGGAACTTTACACCCACCAGTTCCGTGCTGTTCTGCTACTAAGCTCATGCCCTGTATGGCAGTGGATGAGGTCACTCCCATGAGGCCCACCCATGCCCTTTCAGTATGGGGGCTGACACTGTGGCAGGTATTTGCAGGATGAAGGTGGACAAAATTGTATTTATTCCCATGTTTCAATTACCATCTAGCTAATGACAATTCACACATCTCTACCTCTAGCCTGTATCCTTCATCTGAGCTTCAGACTCATCATCCAACTGCTTACTAGATATTCCTACTTGCTTCTGCAACTAAAGTCAGAGTCCAAAATTGAACTCATCTTGTTCCCAAACCCATACTTTCCCTGTATACTTTGCATGACGAATGGCACCTCCATCTGCCCCACTGCCCGTCAGAAACCTGAGATTCAACCTGGAGGCCTCCTTCTCTCTTACCTCTCACACACAACCAAGCACAAAATCTCAACTATTTTATCTTCTATACCATTATAAACAAATAGATGTATACCTGGAGAACCATTTATAAAAATCACTATACCCTATATCAAAGATTTAATTATGCTGATGAATAACAAGCCAGCGAACTGGTTTTGTATTCCCTTTCAATAGGTTTTTAAAACAAATTCTCTGTCCCTTTCTCTAACTCCTTTCCACTTCTTTTTATCTCTGTTGACAGTCATAAAGATAAAAAAGCTTAATCCTGATTTTGCCTTTGCTAGCTTCCATTCCTACAGAAAGGACACTTATGTATATTCAGTTTGGCCAATTTAAAATTCTCTGGATTGTAATGAGTATCATGCAGGGGGGGTGGGGGTGGTGATAAATCACATCTAGCCCTTAAAATTTCACGTATCTTCCTTTTAAGGCATGAGGATGTTCCTTTTTACCCAGCCACTCATTTTTTTCTTCATGAGTGAAAAAAACAGCAACACAATGACAGAGGTTGACCCTAAAACTGACGGAAAATACCCCAGGGAAAGTTAAATTAGGAGGGAAAATATTTTACATAATATCATCTATCCACCCAACCTACCCAGTACTCATTCTTGCAAAATAGCCAATGCCAATATTCAGGGACTGACTCTCCATTTTATATATGACCAGTATTCTAGGTTTGCAATTGGCTGCTAACCAAAAATCTGGCGGTTTGACCCAACTAAGACAGAGGTCCCCAGTCTGCGGAAAATTCCACTGCCTCAAGCAGCTTGCTTGGCACACCCCCTAGCTTTACATTAAAATCCTGGTTCCCCTCTCCTTAACTGCTACCCCAAACTAGAGGAAATTGGTGGAAAAACGGTTTAGGCGCCATGTTGACATTCAAGATAACCTTTTAGCTCATTAAGTACCTCATACACAGTAACTTCCTCGCCTTTGGGTGGGGTTTAACTACCATTTTCTGAACATGCAACGCATGAAGTTATACGCAAACCCCATTGTGCCTGTGTAGTATGATTAAGAATGTTGCTGAAGTAACTTGTATGAACTTCCTACTTGTAAACCCCTTAAAAGTAACCTTCCCCCTCACCCTCGCTGAGCAGTCTCAGTGGTAGCAGCCCTGACTATTCCTTTCCTTGTGCAACAAAATAAAGGCACCTTTCTATCTCCCACCTCAGTCTTTTGTTTATTGGCTGAGATGAGTCATGCTGAGCAGAATCTGGGGTTTCCAGCCAGCAACACCATCCAGCAACACTGCAGAAGGAAAGGCCTGGCAATCTGCTTCTATAATGATTACATCCGAGGAAACTCTACGGAGCAGTTCTACTCTATAACATAAATAGGGTCACCAGGCATTGGGGTTCTACTTCAAGGCAGCTAACAACAACAAGAATATCTATCATGCTCTTCTCTTATCTTGCTGTCAGCCGAAGCCAATTTTCTTAACCCTTGACCACCTGCACCAGAAAGTATGATAAAAATTTAGAGTTTAAAGGCCAAACAGTCCACTTCACTATTATTTTATGACTTGAAAAACATTTGATTAGTTTGAGGATTCTCTCTCAGTGGATTTCAGTTATCCATGCTTTTCAGAGCCAGTGATCATTACGTATCATTATACATACCATTGAGAGTCCATCTCCAACTGTGAGGCAAACTAAAGATGATTCTATTTCCAGTTGGACAGCAAAAGTTTATTTCCCTTCTTTTCCAAATCCCTTTCCTTCTTTACTAAAGAGTACAGACAGTCCAAACAAGAAAGCCCTTAAACAACAAAGAGTTAAATATGCTATTAAACATAACAGGAAACCTTACCAGATCTCTCTTCCTGCCCCCTTCTAGCTAGCCTGGTCAGAGGCAGATAAGGATGCAGGAATGCTGACATGTTCCAAGCCTGCATAAACAAACTGGGACATTCTTGAAGTCTTGCATCCATGGCAGAAAAGCTTGCCTAATTCCCAAAGTAGGTAAAAATAATCATGGGTTTAGGGAAACAGCACGTCCTTTCCCATATGGTTACATACTGATGCAAAAATGCATATCCCACTTCCAATTTTTTAATGGAAGCAGAGACTGTCTGAATGACTATTTTTAAGCAAGTCATTTGGGTTTAAAGTCAACAGTCAGCAATGCCTTCTGAGGCACAGAGTAACAGAATTTTAAAACGCCATTTTAAGAGGTTATGCAACAGCTGTCAAGAAATTTCAGAGAAAAAAAAATATTTGGTATCTAGGTTAGGTTAATATCACACTTCCTCTCTTCTAAATCTCCTTGGAAACTATTATTTGACCCAAATGAGTCACATAATTTCTTAAAGAGGCCTCAAGCTGCAAATATTGTACTAGCCATTTGCTGCTCAGTGCTGATGTGTGAAACTCCACCAGCCTGAGGGAAAGTCCCAGTTTAGGGGTGGGGCAAAAATTTAGTGTCAGTGCTAAGGCAACAACTTTGAGCTGGAACAGCGCCTGCAATCTTAGCAGCAAGATGCTGGAGGGCAGTTCTCATTCCTGCAGGAAGGGATCCTGAAAGATCCCAGTTGCTGCCTTCCAATCAGGAAGTCCACAAGCATGATATTATCTAACCCACCAGGAGAAATCTTTATGGTCTGAGAGACAAAGAATAGGCCTTGATGTGAGTGTATTATGTGACTGTGCAATGACCAGGAGCCCCCCGGCTCTCTTCCTGGCTCCCACAATGCACCTGTGCCCTCTTGCTTTTCTCCAGGGCTTTCTCTTCATTTATTTCACTTGGCATTTCAAGCAGCCTTCAGGCAGGAACCTCTCCATAAGTCCTTTGCATTGAGGTCATAAATTAAGAACCACTGCACAGCTGCAGGGTCAGAGCTTAGCTGCCCTCCACCCCAACACAATATATAGATAGTCCATTTTGGCCAGAAGGAAAATAAAATCTTTCTCACTATATCGAACAATTGCTTCTGTTATCATAGGGCAAAGTGTATTGAAGAGCATTTCCAGTACTCTACAGATAAAACAAAGAGCTTGATGCTCAGCTAGACAATTAAATATTTCTCAGTCATTACTACAGTGCCCATATTTATATCAGGGATAGTAGCTATAGTAAAGTAAAATATAGCTAGGCAAGACACATTTCTAGATAAAAAATAATTCAAGTTCCTCTTTACAAACACACACATATACACAGTTTGGAGAGGGAAAAACAAAACAAAACAAAACACAAGGGGTGGGAGGGAGGGGGAAAGGGAGAGTCGTTGCTTAGTGGGCACTGAGTTTATCTTAATGATGGTGGAATAATTTGGGAAGGCACAGTGGTATTGGTTACACAACATGATGAACGTAATCAATGTCACTGAATTGTACATATAAGAATCGTTAGATTGGCAAATGTTTTGTTATATATATATCTCTACCACAATTGAAAAAGACAAAAATAAAAAAACCTCTAGTACTAATGAAATTTCCAAGTCCTAAGCAAACATACCATAACTTATTGATTTGGTATTTACTACTAAAAATCGGTCATTTTAAGGGGCTAGGCACATAATCTGTCACTGCTCAAAAATATCTCTGGATGTCCCCTTCTGCAATTGTCTTTGGGCCTGGGACAGTATTATTTTAACTTTGTCATACTTCTTTTGAGGATGAGCTTAGTATTTAAAATAGCCACAAGACATCTGAAGTTGAGACTGATGAATGGGGTGGGTGATCTCAAGAAGGAACTCTCAGCACTGAGATTAATGTATGGGTTGTAAACTAGCAAGTTTTAAGGAACAGCAGCTTCCCTCAGATAACTGCATAGAGTAACTCACAGTGAGGAGTCGAACTCACTTAGCTTTGTAAATTGGATACATGGGTATTTAATAAAAATAAAAAATAAAACCCCACTATATTATTTTAGAGGAGCCCTGGTGGTGCAGTGGTTAAAGCACTCAGCTGCTAACCAAAAGATCAGCAGTTCAAATTCACCAGCCACTCCGCAGGAGAAAGATGCAGCAGTCGGCTTCCATAAAGATCTACAGCCTTGGAAACCCTATGGGGAAGTTCTACTCTGTCCTATAGGTTCGCTATGAATTGGAATCAACTTAATTGCACTGGGTTTCTGGGTTTATTTTTTATTGTACTTCTGGTGAAGGTTTACAGAACAAATAGTTTCTCATGAAACAGTAGTACACATATTGTTTTATGACATTGGTTAACAACCCCACAACAT